TATTATTATTATTATTATTATTATTATTATTATCATTATTATTATTGGGAATCATCTAACCTCTAGCCTTCACTAATTTCATGAAAGCAACCCTGATACGATAGCTGCATCTGAAGCTTCGTTCACCTTTATCATTTCCACTTGATCCCCTGTTCATACCAATTAGCCCGTAAACAATGACATCTCATTTCGAAAGAAAATACTCTATTAGAATCGAAGTTTCTATTTCTTCACCAGAACAATTGAAACACTCACCAAGTTTGTAGACAAGTTCACAAAGTCGGCATAATCTTCGTTGATTAACTCAATCAATGCATGTTTCAAGGCCTTCAAATACTCGTCTAAATTGGATTTCACCACTTCCAAAGGCACACTTCCTTTGCAGTTTCCAACGAAACTGTCGACACTAAAAGACTCTTTCATGAAATCCGCTCTGGAAAACACAGCTGAGGTTGGTTCTCGAGGGACTATTTCTTCGTGAGTATCCGCCATTTTGTTCCAACTCATCACAGCGAAAATGTGCCAGGCGTTTCACGTCCACTCTGAGCAGACTTCTCTGGGGCTCATTTGGAGGCACATCCATGACCAAAGAAAACGGGCCGCGGAAGATTTGTGGAGACGCCAGCACTAAACGTATGAAGCTTTTTCCAGAGGGTACTATTATTTATGGCAAAAGAGGTAGAGGTTATATTAAATCTTAATGAAGGTGTCACGGAAATCATTAAATCGGGACTTTTAAAAAGCTGCATTGAGTATCTTTTGTATCAAAGGCAGCAACTTCCGATACCTTACCACGAGGTCACAAGAATGGTGGAACAGCAAGAGAGTCAAGATATAAACGCACATGTTATGGAGCGGCCAGGCCTCCGACGATCTCTTAACACGGAGTACAAGAAAGCTAAGAAAGTTTACGAGGACGTAGAATGTTTGTTTGACAATGTAAACAAGCTGTTTATGTCAACAGTGGTCAAGTCTGCATTGGTGTTACTGGGTTCAACACCGGTCAGTCCAAAAGAACGATATCTTTTAGACTTTCAGAACCCTGAGGAAAGTAATTCTTTGGATATTTCTCCTAGAATATGCAATTCTTCTCGTCGTAAACTGGTACGGAGCTTGATATCAAATCCAGACCTTGGTACGTTTAAGGATATATCCCCTACTTCAATGTTTGTCTTCATTCAAGCTAGCAGATCTTCAGATCTTCAATGGTTTCGACCGAAATCAACATTCAAGCCACCCAGCCGAGGTCAAAGTTGTAAGATAAGTGTAAGGACAGCCCATAGCGAGCAGCTATCCCCCACTGACTTCAACAAAGATGAATGGATGTGGTTCCAGGCACCTGTAATTGTCAGAGGTTACAGAAACAAGAGAGCGGGAATGCTATGAATGCTGGTGTCACAGTGGATTTGGACCACCCCACGCATTTGGACCCCTGGTCCAAATCCGCGAGTGGATATGAACTCCCCTTCGTAGATATGAACTTCCCTTCGTAGATTTGGACCCCGTACCAAACTTTCCTTTTAAGAATCATTTGTATCATATAACCCTAACCCCAACTCTAGCAACCCCAACCCCTAACCCTTACCCTAGACCCTAACCCTAAATCCTAACCCTAGACCTTAACCCTCACCGCTAGCACTTGGGAATGTAAAGGATGATGTTTTCTCTCAATCTTGTTGGGGGTCCAAATCTGTGGAGGGGGGTCTATATTTGCTGGCAGATTTGGACCAGGGGGTCCAAATTTAGAGGGGGTTCAAATCTGCTAGGACACCAGTTGTTTCAGCATTGTGCCATTTCGCCAACTAATAGGTTGCCAACGTTTGCAGTTGCCTCACTAATGTCAAAGGTCAGTTTGCCAGTGCTCATGTGTCAGTTCACCAATGTCCAAAATAAAGCTTCCAGTGTTAATTGTTGTGGGACTTGTGACTTTTTAATGTTTACTTTGCCAACAGCACAATTTACATGTGCACTCATACATAATGACTCTGAATGAATACATCAAAGGTAAAATGGTATTCCTCCAGTCATTTGTAAATAGATTTCAGACCTTTTTCAAAAATTATTTGGGACAATGCTGAACTAACACATTAGCATTGGGGAACAGATCCAGGACACTGGTGAACTAACTTCATATGTTGGTAAACCTGGTCATTGGTGAACTGACAAGTTGGCAAATGACAGGTTAGCAAGTGGAGTTTAAAATCTGTAGCTGCATGATTTTAGGAGAGCTTTTTTATCCTCTAGGCCATTTTGATAATCATTTTAAATTGTATTCTAGAATATTTTTTCAAAGAAACTTTTTATTTTTTTTTTAACTTGGGTTATTATAATTTTTGTCTCCTGTAAAATGCTCTTCATGGGTTTCAGGTGTACACGTTTTACTTCATGAGAAACTCAGAAATAATTGTCATGCCTTCCACTCTTCTTACATGAGTCAAGGAGGGCTTGAAATCAGCCTGTGAATGGGCTCTAGGTAGCTCTCTCACCTTGCAAAGCTTGCAAGAATCTAGTTGGTTAGAAGAGCTTGTTGAGAAGTGAGACAGGTCTCCCAGACTTCTAGAATCTTGTGGGCTTTGCTGCCTGGGGACATACCTCTAAATTAAAGGAAACAATATTTTTTCTTTGAGGGATGGAGGTTCTATTAATCTAGATGAGCCTTAAACCAGGATGGGGACTAATGATCAATTAAAATGTTTGCTTAAGATTGAGATTTTGTGGTTGTGAAGTCTTGTAAGGCTTTCTTGATTGCTCTGGTACTTTTTGAGAACCATGGTGACCAGATATAATTTCCATAATTTGCATCAGAAATGCATGTATGTGCATGGAATTTCCTTTGAAGGAAGGTTTGATGAGAAGGTCAGTGAGAGAATGAATGCTGTGTTAGGCAAATTTTTTCATAGATTCACACCTTTATTTTTTCATTCAAAATCACACTATTGCTGCAGCTCAACATTTGGTTTGTCAATTCAAAAGTAAAGTAAATCATTTTTATTTTTACAAAAAATTAATTAGATTAATTAAATTGTGGAAATTATTTAACTAGACACTACTGAAGGAAACAAAATATAGAAGGGTTTACTAATTTGAAAAACAAATTAGATCACAGGATATTTTAATTGACAACCTAACTCTGCACTGGGATAACATCAGATTAAGAAATGTATTAAAAAAAAAGGGAAAACTGAACATTATGATCAAGTAGTCAACTGGGAGTTGGGACTAAACAGCATTTATTGATGCTACAAGATGAAATAAACTATTAGAATATCTAGGAAACAATGAAAACAAATATTCCTGATAGTATTTCATAAAGGAATAATCTTAAACCTTGTCTGTAATTAGCAAGCTCTATTTCCATTACTCCCAGAATTTTTATGCCATTGTTTAAAGTTTGTCCTTTCTTGTTCCAGGAATGCTTCTTTAATTAAGAATAATGAAAGAAACATTCTGTGGATACATGAAGTTGCAACACCAAATAAATAAAAAAGAACACACTTTCTTCATAGCAGACATTGTATTTTTTACAATATGTCAACTGTAATAAAAACTGCTTCTAAGGTATCTTCCTCATTTTCACTAGACTAAGTGTGAATTCAGAGCTGTTGAGCTGGCAGCTGTAAATTTTTGTCTCATTCTAAAATCAAATTCTACTTAAAATCATCACCTACATGTAACCATATTTGAACATGTAAAAAATACTTTCTCATTTATAAAAATATTTCCTGTACAATATTTGTAAGGTACCTGGCATTTCTTTGTCTAACAAAAATACCTTAAATATCAAGTTAACATTGAACATGTAGATGTCTGTAAGATGGCAGAGAACTGGGGACCTGTCTTCTATATCACAAATAATTAAAAATAACTTCTGTAACAGGATAAAGTTTTTTTTTTTAAACCTTGATTGAGTTGATTTCCTTTTCAACCCTTGAACTCCCAAGATCTGGTTTTTAATTCTCTCCTCTAGCTGCTACACATTTCCTTGTAAATTAGTTATGAGAATTTGATATTATATCAAGATACCAACTTCTACATGATAAGTTTGAGTATTCTCATTACCTGTTTGCTGGATAATGTAAGGATATTATAAGGAGAAGTTTCATGTCAATCACTTCTGGGAGTTAAAGGGTTAAGGGGTTTTTGTTGAAATTCTTTGAACAAGCTGTTTGACTCATTAGGAAAAATGAGGAAATACAATGCATATTTTCCTTCAAGGCCCCTTGATGATCTCTGAGACCCAGCTTTATGCTAAAAGCAAGTGCCAAGGTACGAATGAACTGATGCTGTTGGGCAAGCCTTCACTATTTACAACCTTGTCAGACATAAGCACAACCCATAATAGTTCTCAGACTTTGCGATCTCTTGGCCAAAGCCAAACATTCTTTCAAAAGCCATGAGCACCACTTCGTTTTGAGTTATCAATGGCTGGTAATGTGTAATGTCCAAACTTCTGGCTTGTTTGATTCTGTGAAAAAAAAAATTGTAATTGTAACCTCACAAGCCTCCTATATCACACTTTGCGTTGTTTGCTTATAAAGACCACACAGCCAAACAAAGATGACGACTTAAAATGAGAGAAGAGTTTTTCAAGTAATATATCAAAAAGGAGTATGAGTGTTTCATCAGGGGTTCCAAACACTGAGAAACAGATGAAAGCACGAGGCTGCAGGCTGAGTGCTTTTATTGTTTTGAGGTGTTTGTAACCCCTGATGAAATATGAAGCACGAGTTTTTGGTATAGCTTCTGAAACAAGTTGCCGATTATTGTTTGTAAACAATAGCTAGAGAATGTGATAAAAATGGTTTTGTTGGAATGTTTCATTTGGGAGTTAGCCAACTTATTACAGTTTATCAATTCAGTTTACTGTGCGAGATGGATGAGTCAAGTTCAAGGTTTCGGATTCCCAAAACTTCTTACAAGGAAAACGCGTCTATTATCAATTCTGTTCCCAAATCTATAGTTTACAAGAACAAATGGGCGATACGAATTTTTTGAGAATGGCAAGTCCAAAGAGCAAACAAGTTGTGCTCCATTGAGCCAGGCAGAGTGTTCAAAGCTGAAGACACTGGTTTGGATGTTAAAGAGTTGACTGAAAGCATTGAAAACATGAATGGCAAAAGTCTAAACTACTGGCTATGCAATATCCAAATGTCCACTGATTTTCCAAGAATCAGTGGACATTTGGATATTGTATCCAAATCTCTGAAGATTTTCATCCAGTTTTCGTTGACTTTATGAATTATTAATGAGTTTGAGAAGATTCTATGCTGTCCATCTTGGAGAATTATCACAAGTGTAATTGTATGATTGTTTCTTCATTTGGTAATTACCTCAAAATTAGCTACCATTAATAAAAATAATTACCTTAACTTTATTTTTTTCTTGATGGATAATTGAAGGAAATGACGTTGGGAAAGTTGTAGTATGTGTAGCAGTTGCAACTGGTATCTTGGGTAAAGTTGTGCCATATGTGTTTGTCTTGTAACCTACACCTATAGATGATAATGATGGCTGTTGGTGGGCAACTATTCCACCTGTTAGGCCAAAACCATCATCTTTCGGAAGAATAGACTGTAACAAAGAAATATGTTGCATTAATGAAAGCATAGAACTTTCCTGACCACAGCACAAGGAGAGAAATACATACAATAGGAGAGTAAAATTCATGTTTTTTTCTTGGTCCCATGCTAGTCACAAAACATACATAATTTTCAGCACTCAACAAGAATGCTCAAATGTTTATTTCTTATTCTAAGAACACAATGCCTGGAAAATTTCTGATCTTCCTCAATGCGGTGGATGTTTAATGTTCATTCCTCTGACACTTGCACATAAAGATGTTATCCCTGAAGTGAATCTCAGTATCATGCTTTTCACCTTTGACAACCCAAACGATATCTACAGTGAAACTTTGATCTGACTCACAAATATCTATATAACAAAGTCCTTGGTATAACAGACAACACTCCAGTTTCAGCCTGGCTAAAGTTACAGTACAATGTATGCCACAGAACTTTGATATCACGAACCAATTTCCCTAGTCACTTGGCACTTCATTAAATTGAGGTTCCACTGTAATGACATTTCACACACTATGCCCTCTATATGCATGATATCACAGGCGGCCCAAGCTCTCTTTGAGAACCACACAAGGAACACAATTTGCATATCGATTTATAAGGATTTGTATGGGATTTTCTACAAGATATCCATAGAGATAGTTAAAAGTGAAAATATTAAATAAAAATGGCTTACCTTACTCCATACGTGTGTTGTTCGCTCCTGGTGTCATTATTTTCCGAATTTCACTTGATTTAAGTGTTTTTTTTTTAATCCTCTTTTAAAATCAAGTTAAATCAGTAAAATAACGACACCAGGAGCAAACAACACACGTATAGAATAAGGTTAGCCATTTTTATTTAATATTTTCACTTTTAACTATCTCTATGGATATCTTGTAGAAAATCCCATACAAATCCTTATAAATTGATATGCAAATTGTGTTCCTTGTGTGGTTCTCAAAGAGAGCTTGGGCGGCCTGTGATGATATCAGTGTCACTAAAACTAGTATTTCAAAGCATCTAGCAGAAATTACTGCTTGTGAAACTTTACCTCAGTTGGCGAGCGTGCATGACCTCTTCCCATCACATGTTTTCTCTGATAGCAATAACAATAGACTATGCATTAGGAAAAATTGTAAGAACAAAAAAAATCATACCCCAACCTTTAAAGCCTTTTTCAAAGCAATAGTCGCATAAAAATTGTACATGTCAAGGTGTTCACCTTCTTTTTCACCATTCGATGTGGTTTTGTTATAACTGATGCCTCAGATGGTGAAGAGAATGTTGTGTTGGTAACTTGTCTTTTGTCCAACTCCCTGTTACGATGAAACAAATAGAAAATAATTCTTATCTCTCTGGTGAGTATATCAAGAATTTTCTATCGACACAATATTTCTCTCATAACAATCACACTCTTACATAATGGGATCCTAAAATGAGGAACCTCTTCAAAATACTTTAAAAGAGAAAACGTACTTCTCATTTTTATTCCCGTCCCTAGCTAATTACTTTAAATTTGCTCAGTAATTTATTTTATTTTGGTTGCAGCTATACCTGAGTTGTTTGAAGTAAGGATGCCTCAAGGCTTGTTTGGCTGATATTCTGTAAGCAAAAATTGAAGAGAACATTATAACCATAATGAATATCAATGACACACTGGAAGCACTTTGGAACTTGACAAGTTGGAGAACCTTAGAAAATAATCAGTACATTCCCTTTCTCTATAATTCTCTATTGCCCAAGCAGAAAATCCCAAAAAATTATACCTGAGCAGAAATTTTAGATGCATGGTCAACCCAACTGCAAAAAAAATTTCCTTCAGAGGACAAATATCACCAATCCACAGACTAAACCTCCCCTAAATTTTCAAGCCACGTAGCACTTTTACCAATTGATCTCTATGAGAACAGAAAAGGTCACAATAATAAAGGAAATGATT